CTGGGCCCACCTTACAGGAAAGGAAAACAAGGCTCAGGGTAGGATCTACACTCACCCAAAAGAGCAAAGCCAGTACCCAAAGCATGGTGCCTGCCTTCAAAGAATGCAGTCTTTCCATTATTCTACACACATGGTCATGGGAAATGAAAACAAAGGTTACAAAAGTGCAGCCACTGACTCAGCAGAAAGTGCAGGGAAGGGGGGCAGCATTCTTCATCTACTTTAGCAGAACTGACCTTTTCCTTCTCAAGTCAAATATCAGTATTCTAACTACAACTGCCATTTAAACACTGGTTCCCCATCTAGTCCCCAGGCTAACACAGGGACTGGGATGAACATCTATTTAGGGCTCTGCTGGGGGAGTGAGGGGATAGGTTATTTTTAAGACAAGTAATAAAACAAGACGAAAAGTATATTTATGGCTCCATGACAGTCTGTTTTTAAACAGATGACAACCTACAGCTTTGAATGAAGAGAAAGGAAGACCGACAGCCACGGGAGTCATGGTTTCCTTCTTCAACGAAACGACTTGACACACAAAAATATAAACAAGTTATGGCCAGAACAACTTACTGAGAACAACGTCCACTACTGAGCTACAACAAACAGAACTCTCAGGATACTCTTTCACATTTCAACCTGCAGTGAAAATGAGTTACTAGGCTGTGCAGCTTATCACTCGCTCTCTGCACCATAACAGTTTACGTCATCTAAGGGGAGGCAGTGCCCTGCTACCGAACAGAAAGTTGAGAATGCACAATGACACAATCAGAAAGTACATCTATGTGATTCAAGATGGCTCCAGAAAATGCTCCTCACAGGTTTGTTGTAGTTGTTGTTTGAGCAGAGTCTTACTCATACTGTAGCCCAGGCTGGTCTAAGACCTCTCACCATTTAACATTGAGTAGCCTTGAATTCACAACAATCTATTCCCTCCTCTCCACTGCCAGCAGAGGCATGCCCAATCACACCTGATCCTCACAAATTCTCAACAAGTGTTCTATTCATAGACATTTGAACAGTTTTCTCTTCATTACTCCTCAATTGTTAAGTTAGTTAAAAGATGGCTGTTGTTAAAAATGGAATAATGTCTTGATTTTCTACAAAAAGTGTTTGACTACTTAAAAGTTACTTTTGCTAATTTCTAGTGAAATGTGGTAAGAAGGCAGAAACAAGTTCCTTTAATTTTACTTTTGTTAGTCACTTTTCAATTAATCTTCGCTAGCTTATGACTTGACCATTGAACAAGCAGTCCTAACAGGTTGATCTCCCTAGCTTATAGCTTATGGCTTTACTATCAAACAAGAGTCCTAATAGGTAACTTTGCTCTTCAAGCTGAGCGCAGTGATTACTTCCCCAGCCCAAACAGACCATCTGGGCCCAGGAGGTGGAGATCAACCTGGGCAATCTCACCTCAAAAATAAACAAATTGCTTTTCCCTTTTCATAAACATTTTTTTTATTAAAAAATTCTAAAACAAGAACCCAAAGAACTATGTATTTTGAAAGTTTCACAGGTAACTACAATGGCTAGCATTCAACAACTAATCAGTATTTGTTTCATAAAAAGTGAAACCTTTTTATGAATTTTAAGATTTCTTATCTCCTCAAAGTTTAAGCAATACACTAATAATGTAATAACTACTCTAAATGTGAGATAGGGATTGCTCATCTGTACCACACGTAGCTAAGGATGACCTTGAACTTCTGACCGTCTTGTCTAGGCCTCTAGGGTGCTGGGATTACAGGCATATACCACCATAGCTGGCTTATATAATGGCAGGATGAAACCCAGGGCTTTGATATTCAAGTATTCTACCAGTCCTCCAGCCCCTTAAGTATTTATTAAAACTAAAACCTACCAACCTAACAAAAGGACAGGTTGTATATACTTCAGCAACTGATCACTACCTCAGTGAGGGATTCAAAAGTATAATTGGATACAATTCTTTAAAAAATTACTATTTGAGTAAATCTCTTAAATGTTTATAGTGCAGACCTGCAGTTTAATATAGACATACAACTAGGCAAAACACCAATGAATAGATAACAAAATAATAAATCATTAAAAAATGTTTAAATCATAAAAGTACTGAAAGATGGCTCTGGAGGTGCTTTATCTTGGTTGAGGGGTACAAACCTAAAATAGCAAGGTAAATAAATCATTAACTACTCAATAACTTGTTTCTGTCCACACAGCAATTTAATCCTATTTTGAATTATCTCTCTTCATCATGGCTGACTTCACCATGGCCTGAACACTGCCTAGCGCTATGTATGCTTTTATTGTTGGGTTGTTTGCTTTGAGGCAGGGTCTCACTGTACAGCTCTGGTTGTCTATGAACTCATTGTGTTGCCCAGGCTGGCTCTGACTCCCACTTGTGACCTCCTACCTTAACGCTCTGTGTTCTGGGATTATAGGCACCACCATACCCAGACCCTTACATCCTGTACTTCAAAGAGACTTTCTTGGGTGGGGGGTGTAGCACATCGGTAGAGTACTTGTCTACTATGCAGAAGCCCCTGAGCTGGCCCTCAGCATCTCAGAGCTGTGTGTGAAAGGGGCTGCCTCAAATTTCCTCTATGGGCACGCCAACCTAAGAGACCACACTAAAAAGGCACTCAAATGAGTCCTATTCTCTTACAACTTAAGAAAACAAAATCCACACTCAGTTCATTTTATTTCCAATGTTTTACACCAAAGAGTTTTAATTTTCAATTACATATTTAATGTTTACATCAGACCGTTTGACTTAACATAGAAGCAACTTAGCTGTATTCAATATAAGAAACTAGCCAAAGATTCCATATCAGTAGTAAAATATTACTTGATTTTTCTTTTCTTTCTTTTTTTTTAAGGGAAAACTGAGGGCTGGAGTCAGGACCATGTCTGTAATCCCTGCTCTTTCCCATACTAGCTCTTAACTTTGCTCAGATCTCTAAGAACTACCAAGACAGTTGCCAGCTATGCTGTCAAGAGGCGGTAATACTGCCTACTCTACAAGTAGGAGTAGGAATACACAGCTATAAGCGGTCAGACGAGCATGTGCTATGTTCTCAATTTCTTCTCTCCTCAAAGGCCAGTTTTCTGCATATAGTCACTGATGTATATACAAATCACCAAAACATCCAACAACTTAAGAAAAACAATTTTTTAAAATTAACCCTAAAATAGCTAGAGGAAAATTCTGTATTAAATAGTATATAGTGAAACAGAATTCAAAACTTTGTATACATTAGCTACACAAGAAAAATTTTAGCCAGCTGGTGGTCCCAGCACTCAGGGAAGCAGAGGCAGGTGGATCTCTGCAAGTTCAAGGCCAGCCTGGTCTACAGAGAACTCCTGTCTCAAAAAACAAAACAAACGAAACAAACAAAAAACAAAAACAAAAAGAAAAAAACTTTAATGAGAGTCTTGTATGTAAAAGACTAAAAATACATTGTAACAGGATACCTGAGACAAAAAGAAACCCCATTATAGAAGTATAAGTCTGATTATTTTAACAAGTTCACCAAGGCAAAAGCCAAGCTCTCCCTCCCTCCACTCTGGTGGCCACACTGCAGGCCCCTCCACTCACACACTGCTCTCCTGCTACCGGTCTCACAAACCCTTCTCCATCCTATTTCTACTAGGCTTATTCTCTCAACTCCAGTTAGCTTAAGTTTTCTCTCCTCAGTAGGGCAGACACTATTTTGCTATTTTGTATCCCCACTTCCACTGTGCAAGGTATGGGTCAAATCATCAGCTGCCTTAGTGTCTTTTCCCCAGAACACTTAACACCTTCTAAACAGTAGTGAGGAAATATATACAATGTTTCCTTCTTGACTTTCCCTAGATTTTTGTCTGACTTTCCAGGCCTTATGAATCCAGATAAATCTCAAGGTTTAGAACAGTATGAGGAACATAGCAGATACCTAACCAACCAAAAGCAGCCAGGCCCTCCTTTCCTTGAAGTTATACAGAAGATGCGCAACAAATTCCAAAGAACAACCCACAACGGATTTACATATTGCATTTTTAGGGCCTGCAATTTGCAGAAAATATAATATACATTTCAAAGTCCATATATTTTAAAGTAATTAAAAGCAGTAATCGACTACCCATTAATTTTAATTTTGCTACTTAACATATTTATAATACTTATTTTCCTATTTAATATAATTTAATCTCAAATGCAATTTTCAGCCACTTTTCTAGATTTCATTTCTAGTCGATTTTAAAAACTTATTTACATGCACCACAAATACCAGGAAGTGATAGCCTGGGAGAAAACAGTTACATTTTTGTAACCATCTTACAAACTTGAACCTCAAAACCCTGAGACTCCATTTCTTCTTTTGTAAAGGGGAGGCGACAAGCCAGATGATTTCTTAAGACACTATAGGTCTAAAGTTTTCTGGTAATTTACAAAAATCAAATAGGTCACACAATCCACATATATTTTGCACAGTTAAAAAAATCATTAGAATCATAAAGTTATTAAACTCAGCAGAACTTTAGAAGTTAAGGAGCCCAGTCCTTCCCAGTCTTAGAAGGAGAAACTCAGATGTTTTGAATACTTCTTAAAATACACTGGCCTATCAGGCCCTGCCTAGGTTTGATCCCCAGCCCCGGGTTATTTTTGGTTTCTCTGTGAGTGTGAAAGACAGGTAACTGAATTTTTTTCCTTATAAAAACATTTTCGGATATTCCATCATTTATGTCTTTCATGTTGTAGAAATTAGCTGTGGTTCACCTACCAAAAGCAAAGCAAAAACAAAAAACAAAAAAAAAAAAGCCTAACAGCCTAAAACTGTACCAAGAAAAAACTATAAATTTACAATGAAATACATTTACTGTTAGATTCTTATGGGCCCGTATTGACTTTCTAAACTAACATGATCATACCGAGACTGTCCGAGTGACCTAAAAACGAGTTAAGAAAGTGCTTTAAGTTAAGGGCATCTTATCACAACCAGTACGACTGCGTGACTTATGGCTAAGTTCCAAAATGAGCTAATTTAATATTAACCAAAGGGACAGAAGGCTACAAGCCCAAACCCAAAGTGAGCTCTCATCTAAACAGCAAGAATCCTACGTTCCCAATGAGCAATGGCAGGTACTGGATTTGAGGGGAATCTGAAGGGTGCTGTCGGAGGAAGCTGCACACAGACACCGCCATGGTGAGTGTTCATCGGAGACCGGGAGACCCCACGCACTTCCTTATGTCAGCCAGCTACAAGCACCTTAGTAAGAGAGAGTCAACTCTTAGGGGTTCAGGGGTGATGTCCAAGGCCTATCCAAGAAGAAACTGCAGACACTCTGTTGGGTCTTTGGACTTACACTCTAATCTCAATCCAAACACTAACCTGTACTCTACAGGAAAGCCTTCTTACAAATACAAAGTTTTACGAACTTTGCACAGAAGAGAAATCTTGAATATGTAGGACCAAACCACACAATCAACACATGAGACCAAAGCAGCTGGAGGTTGGGGCCACATAAGTGTCACTGAGCGAAAACAACCCGCACAAACTGAAGACTGGGAACACACACACACCCTTCTCCCCAAAGAGGCCCTTCTGCTCTCCGGAGCGAAAGGACCCAATCACCTTTACTATTCACCCAGCAGCCTGCCCGGAACTCCAACAAGGTGTGACTGTATACTTCCAAACTGAAAAACAGTGTCCAGCAGCGCCAGGTACTTAATGACAAAGGAGTCGCCTCACTCCAGCGTCTTCCAGCTTCCGTGACTTTTTCTCACCCGAACAAAAACCAAGAGGGGAGCAACTTGACAAACTGTTTTTTAAGAATCACCAATGGTCCCTAACTGCTATAATAAAGCAATTACTCCTCCCACCCCAAGCAAACAGAGCGGGCGCTCGGAAGGCAGCAGGTCTCGGGTCCCCCGGCTGCACTTCCGTCCGCAACCCGGAGCCTCCCCGTCCTCTCGCTGGGACCGAGCCTCTGCCGAGCCACCCCAACTCCCGGGCGCCCGGCGCCAGCGCGTCCGGACGGGGAAGGCCGACGC